GCTGAGCATAGTTGCTCTAAGTAAAGGATATTTTTATTTCTAATTTGTTGTTTAAAAGTTCTATATCTGTTGCTTTTATCTAGTATGTGCTCTAGAGGAGTATTGCTATCTTGGATTGTCTGTAGCCATGCTCAAATAAGTAATTAATTTTAATAGTAAATAAGTAATTATTTCTAATATTTATTAAATACTATAATAATAATATCAAATTAATAATTGATTTTAATACTTATTATATAAGGTCTTTGTCTTGAAATGATCCTACGGCACTATAATTTTTTTTGAGTAAACAGTAAATAAAGATTGTATAACCCAAACAATCAAACCTTGATTTTTTGCTAATTTTAGATATGATCTTTATAAAATTTTTTATTATTGAATAAAAATTGATCTGTGCTCCTTGCAAAATTGATGGCATCTGCTATGGTAAATCATTTCTATTCTATTTTTAGATATTCAAAAAAATTTCTGTCAAATTTTTAGACTTCTATAACTCATTTTAATATTAAATTAACTGGTTTTAAATTTTGCACAAAATGAGCTTTGTGTTTCATAAATTAAAATTTAGCAAAAATCTTAATTTTGGTTTGGGGATCTTGAAACCCTATTTTCAAGGCAAAGACTCCATATATTATAATAATTAATATTAAATAAGTAATTAATTTTAATACTTATTATATACTACAGTATATATAATAATTAATATCAAATAGATAATTAATTTTAATATTTGATATTAATTTATACTGTACTACAAATATTATAAAGACATCTACAATAATAGTAATATTGAAGTTTACTGCTTTTATGTTTAGGGACTTGTATTATTAATTAAGCATTTGGTTGTAATGCTTGTAGTTGCTACTATTAAACATACCGTATATATGTATCTGATTATACAAATAAGTTAATTAAAATATAAAATTTAGATTGACCTATAAAAATGAGTACATGAAAGATCAAACCTTTCAATATATAATATACGCATAAAGATTTTGTAAAAAATGTCATCGGTTAAGCTAATTTTCTTCACATTACAGGGGCAGCAAGCCACATTGGCTAGAGGCTTTGAATATCAGATTGATCTAATAATTATGAACTACTAGAGATTGGCTACTAACTAACTAACTAAACCTGTGATTATAATTTTTTCAGGGTGTCATAGTATTATCATAGAAAAATCTGGCTAGAAGAGTTAGTAACTATTTGGAAAGTAAAGAATTAACAGAGAGAGTTAATAACAATTGGGAGAAGTATTTAACAAAAAAAAACAATATACGATACTTCTCTAGAATTTAAAGGAGACTAAGTCGAATAAAATATAGAATAGAATATAGTATTTTCAATATTCTTAGTGATTGCATTGCATTAGGATGTTCTCAAGCATCTAAATTAGATTAGATAATAATCATGATGATGCTCAAGCTCACAATTGATTACAATATTTATAGGATTAAATGCTTGAGCACACTTTTTTTGTTTTTCTTAATGTTCGCTATACTATCTTAAAAAAATTTCCTTTCGCTCAACCATTAAAATTTTAACTTTAGTTACATCGGCTCCTCCTTTTAATAATTTTAACAAATTAAATTTCTTTACTATCCATCAAATATGAAAAACATTTACCCAAGTCTTTCAATTTTAGGTCTTCTTTACTGAGATGATTTTAAATTTAAATGAGTGAAAAATGAAATAACAGTATTAATTATGAGTTAGTTAAATAGTAAAAAGACTGTGTATTTATTATACTCATATTAATGTCGATTATTTGTTTTAAAAGGTTCGAACATTAAAAATAAAGTGGCTAGCTTTTTAGCCTGGTTAAAAATATATTGAGAATTAATTGCTTATTATGTTTGATATGTAAAAAAAAAATATAAAAGTAATACTTGAGCGGCCTTTATGAATGGTAAATTTTTGAATAAAAAAGATGGGGTTTGAAATAGTAACTCACTTTGTTAGTTTATTCAAACATCTCAATCAATAAATCAGAAGTAAATTTTAATTACTTTGCTTAATAAAAAATTCCACTTAAATAAAAACTGATATAAAAAAAATTAAAAATAAAAGTCAATAACGCACTATTATTAGCATAATATCATCTATTGAATCCATTCATATACTTATCTAAAATTTTGACCTTTGCTAAATATCGCTATTGGACTTACTAATCATTTATATAATCACATATTATAACAATACTTTGTGGCATTTATATACGCATTCCTGATACAACCTATTTACTATATTATTACATTCTACCTGTGCTTCAACAGATTAATTAATTAGAAATTCAACTGTAACAATAAACATGTTTGTCGAATAATGATTCTAATAAACATTACAATTAATAAATTATTTATAATATTGGATGGTATGTATTCAGCAATAATTATTATTTAAACAGCATTTAATTAACAAAGCTATTTAATAATATATACAGTATTAAATATATTTATTCACATAAAAAATGTTGGATTCATTAAATTTTAGTATAATGTGCGCTATACTTGCAATTGAAGCAATAGGAATTAAGGTATAGTGTTCAACATATTTCAGAATTGCGCATTTATAAAAATAATGACATTGTGTATCAGATGAATATGCAAAGTCATACCAATAAATGAAAGCAAGGTCGAGTTTCTGGCCTAATTTTGGTAAAGCGATCCGAAGAATAAGAAGAACCTAAAATACAATTAAATAAGCATTGTTATTATAGTTAAATGTGTACTTTTTTTTAAATTAATATATATCTTCGCATAATATAAGCCATTATCTGTTAGATAATTATCTTGTTCTGATTTATCTATTTCAATACAAACATTTGAAAAAACCGCTTGTCTATAATAATTAGAAGATGCACAGATTACCACTTTATAACTGCCTTCTAAATAAGCAAACTCGAATACTTCAATCAAGATTGTCTTGTTCTCTATATCTTGTAATAACCAATTCTCAATACTTTGAAGATAGTCATAAATGCAGCATTTAAGTTGTTTAAAGCTATCTCACATAAATCGTTTGCATTTGCTAACTGGCTTACAATTTGATCAATTGTATGTTGTGTTATCTGTTTAATAGCTTTTTTTGAAGTGATTTCATGGTATAATTTATTATTAGTTTGTACTTGAAATTTTGAAATGAAGAATGCAAAGATGTTTTGACGAGTTACCTAAGGTATTTAAAAATCGTTAAATCATTCATTTCATAATTACTTTACTGATGTCATATAATTTGTAAAGAACTACTTACATTTGCTTAAATTTGTGAGTTAATATATCACTTGTTTGTCATACGATAAGGCTGCTTAATATTGTATTTATGTAATAATTCATATGTTTCACTTGTATATCCATTAGGAAACCCGAATTGACAAATTGATGGCAATAAGTAATTTCGCCAGCTATGTAATTTGGGTAAATTTAGGTTAGAAAATAAAAATTTTGACATTAATTTGATAAATAAATCACTCCAAGTAATAATTAATCTCTATTTAAAAAAAAAAGTTAATTAATTTATTATTAATATATATATATGAATTACCATTATTAATAAACTTGCCTCAAATTTGTTAAGGTCTGATATAGTGTATTTTGGTTAATAACTCCAAATGTACATGTCAACCCAAAATAAGTAAAGGTCATACAATTGTTTATTGAGATTTCTGTCAGGTATTAATTCGTCCAGGGCGAAAATCGTTATTTTCATTAAATCTCGATACTCTGATGCAGTTAACTTATTAAATTTCTCAAACCCATTTTTGAAGACCTTAAGATTTGGATAATGAGAAATTTGAGAAAGATGTTCCTCAAGAATTTTTGTTGGACCACCACCATACTTTAAATTCAACAGATCAACGGTAAACCATAACTGATACTGGAAAAGTCCGAGATCCGCATGGTGTATATGATCTAGTACACACATAGTGTAAACATTAAAGTATCTATATATGTATTATATGGTCAAAAATATAATATAAAGATTCAATAACTAAAATTTGAATGCCAAATAGCACACCTAGAATGTTATTTACCATATTATTTGAGACTAACATGTAATTTCATGGACATATATGTCCGCGAAATTACATGTTAGTCTCAAATAATAAGGTAAATAATATTCTAGATGTGCTATTTGGCATTTTTAAATTTTTGATAAATAGCGTTATTTATACTAATTAAATCCACTTACGGTCGCTTCCACAATGCATTTCTTATATGGTGAACAGAAATTTTCTTGCTATTACCTTGACGTAAAGAAGCCTTAGTTGTATTCTTATTCCGGATGATTATGTTTTCTTTTTTTAAACGAATATTGTTCATTTTATTGCGGTCTACTAAGCAAGAATAACACAGATGTAATAAATTTGGTGATCTATAAGTAGCACATAATGTACATGCTTCAGGCCAATTCGAAATTATAAGTACCAAATATGGATAAAACCATTTAAGACTATCATTGACATAGAGATGAATACCAGTATTACTTAGAGATCTTAATAGTTGAAGCATAGCTGCAAATGTATGATGAAAAAGTTTACGTATTGCCGATCGAAATTGGGATGATTGTTTTTGAAATGTACTACTATATTAAAGACTAGGAATATAGCCAAATAGAATTTTTGCATCTATTTTGTTGCGGCGGGTTAAAGGAATATTTCCAAGTGTCATAAATACTGAATGTCTTGATGTTTTTCCTAAATAGTCACAGAGAGTAGCATCCGAGTAAAGTATAATTGGCATAACACAGGCTCTAATTGGAATATTTTGTTCTACGTTTTTCCACTAGTCAGAATCATACATATCTGAATATTGATGCTGACCAGTTATCTTTTATCATGAAATTGGAAAGTTATTATTTTTTTTAAAAAATTTATTTTTATTGATAATAATATTTACTTAGATTATCAACAGACAGCTTATAATTGAATATAAATTCTTCGATAATGCTTTTGTTGATTAAGATTTGATGTATCCTGTCAATCACAGTCCTGAACTCGAGGCCGTATTCTAACCCTTCATACTTATAGATAACTTCTTTTCTCCAACCAAAGTTTGGGAGTTTAAGATTTTCAATAAATGCTCTACCAGTTTGTAATGTTATTAGTAGTGGATAATCGGTACATTTTGAGTATCTATTGAAGAATCTTATAAACATATTTGCAAGAGAATCTTGCACATTAAACCGTGTTACTATATTCATAAACTCCACATACTCTTCTGACGAGAATTCTTGATATATATCTTGGGATCCTTTGGTTTTTCAGAAAACAGATCATTACTTTCAATATATTTGTTAGCATCAACGTTTGTTGTGTCTGACAAATCGGATGTTACAGATTCATCATCGAATTGGTTACTGCCTTGAGAATCATCTTCAAAACTGAAAAATTCTACGTCTTGTCCTTCAGTAGATTTGTTATAATTTGAATTAACACTTTTATAGTTGAAAAGCGGTACATCAAGATTTTGTCTTATATTAGATTCATCTATATTAATAATATCCATTTCTGACTATTGTCTAAACTATATTCGAAGTGTATTCTTTTATTGCTATTTCAGTTTGTTCAGGTATGTCTTGTCTTTTAGACATGTTTTGCTTATTAAAAAATTTGGTTGTTATTTCAACTAATTTTTAGGAAGTTTTGTGAATCATTTGACTTGGTAAAGGTGTATCATCTTCGCTGTTATCAAAATGTTTTTTCATATGATTACCCAATGCTTGCCAGCTTACAAAAAACTTATTACAAGAGGAACACGTTGGCATCTTAAAACTAGTAATATACAGACTCACAACTTGTAATATAATGTCGCAAATTAATAAATAGCTAATAGGCCTAAACTAACACTAAATCTAGCACTAGAACATTACACTTTGTTTGTCTTACTAATAATCACTCACGGTATAGGACTTCTTTTATTTCACGTTTTATATTCTTCTAATGTTCAATACCAATACTTATTTTTATCCAACGCTCCACTTTCTATTAAATTTTATTATATAATCAAAACTTTTGCTATGATTACATAATTTAATTAATATACCATAATGTATCATATGATTACTCATATATCTTATACGACAACTCTGCAATTATTATATTTTATGCATCATATACGATTACTAGGAACTGGACTCGTATAAACTCGTAACTCGCAAATTAAATTCAGAAGAGTGCTCGAATTATTTGTTTTAATTACTTGCTTGAGTTTTGTTCAAGTAATTCGAGTCATGGTGATTAATTTATTAGTAAATACATCATGTTGTATTATGAAATTGTTTTCAAAAGCCATTTTATTAAAATTTTGCAATTGCAATAAATTACTACATAATTTATTTAATTTTAAAGAATTACGCTAAAATTACAACATTATTTATGCAGCTTACAAAATTTATTAATGCAAAGTGTATTAGTCATTTTAAACTCATGAGTTAAAAATTTTATAATTCTGACTCAAATTATTCGAGTCACAAGTTGACAAGTCCAGTCTAGTCACTAACGATTATTTATATATAATATACAATTACTAATACAAATAAGTAAAAATAAGTACCAAAATTATGCATCATATACGGTTACTAATACAAATAAGTAACAAAATTATGCAAGATTAAATTAAACTCTGCATGCATAAAAATTTACAGATTTAACAGACTTATTAGTATGAGTACCAGGTACGAGTTAGGTTACCTTTTTGATGCAGTTTTGGTTTTTGGCTTATATAGATATCAAGAATGCAATTTTATGTAGTATGTGGATCAATCTATGTTACGTATATACGTATGTACGTATGGACAAGTGAAGCTTAATATTATTTTAATATAAAATATATTTTATACAAGTAATCATATATTACGTATTATGTAGTATATGGATCAATATATGTTATGATTCTGACAAGCGAAGCTTATCGTTATTTTAATATAATTACTATCTATATAAAAAGAAAATTTGAAATTAATGCTGCTATCTCCTTACGAATAATATCTTAACGAAAATAAAGAAAACAAGGTAATGTTTTGGATATTGTTAGATTGATCAATAAAACATGAAATTAAAAAGTGAATACAATGCCTTAAAATGAAATATTTATATTTGTTAACCATACTACAGACACAAATATGGGTCGCAAGAGAAAAACGATTGCATCACAGCACAAAGGTGTAAAGCATGTCTTGCCTTCTATTGAACTCTCTGAGAAACAAACAGACAGTTCAGGTTCTTTAAGTACCCCAAACGTCTCAAGTGTCTCAAGCACATCAAACAGTTCTCAAATAGAATCAAATAAACAAATTTTCCAAAAACGTAGTTGTTGAAACTCGTTTAGATGAAACTTCTTTAGACAAAACTCCTTTAGACGAAACTTCTTTAGACAAAACTCCTTTAGATGAAACCTCTTTAGAAGAAACACACTTAGACACATTCGATGATACCAACAATTTACTTGATTCGGAAGGGGATTATTTGAGCAATGACAATAATGATGATATTTCAGAACATGAAGCAGCTCATTCGAATTCAAAACGAAAAGATAATAGAACTGCGAATGAATATATGAATATTAAAAAGAGGATCCATAAATTATTACTCTTTTGTTATTTGTAATATGCCTATACTTATTATTATTTATTGTTATTAATTTACATTGCTTTTAGGCCTTTCTTTGACTATTAGAAGTATGTATGATGTACAACTGCAAATTGCTACCATGATACAAGATATACAAAAAAACTAGACGAAATGTATTTAGACTGAAAAGCTACAGGCTTTGGTGGGCACGTGAAAAATGATACCAAATGGATAGAGGTATGCAAGTATTGAATCATTATGTTTAATAGTTTGCCAAATAGCAGCTGTTTGATTTTACGTTATAATACTTTATTATAATAAAATGCTATTATTCATGCCATTTATGGTTTAGTTGAAAAAGTTAAATACTCAAATGATAAACGTTTAATGAAAGTATATTACGATACATTATTAGACATAAATGAGGAGGGATTTACAAACAAAATAAAACATAGTAGATAGAAGCACTTTTTCAATAAACATGTTCGTACCCTGTTAAGTAAACTGTAATGATTATTTATGTTATTCTAAAATTATTTAATCTAATACGTACTCAATTTTTTTTTTTTTTTTGTATTCACCTTCGCTTCATTTTTCATCTTCCTCCTTTTTAACAGGCTCAGAGATTCTGCCGACAGACAAGAAGTAACATCATCCAACGTATTAAAGATTCAATTTATACTGAGTTTGAGGATCTCATAAAGCCAAAAAGGGAAAATTGTCAAGTTACACGTGATAAAGAATTGAGATTCAAAAATTCAAGAATCATACGTGAATGTTATGCAAAATTAAATAGGCCTGTTAATGTTGAGGATGACCCAAATTACACATATCTCAACTTTATACTTGATCATGTATTTCCAGATCCAAAAACTGAAAAAAATTTTATTGCATTTGGGATAGTTGTTGCTCTCAACTATCTTGACTTATCAAAAGAGATAACCATAGTTCCAAGTGAGGTTGTTCAAAAAATGAACTATTTTCTTGAAAAGATGAATGTTCCAGATCATGAGAATTGTGATTAAGCTACTGTATAATTTCTATACCTACTGCTGTCATAAAGCTTTTGCCATTACTGGTGTGATACCTTTTTAGTGCTTAGATGACTTTTCTTTATACTGTTTTTATCATTGTTTTATTTAAAAACAGATTTTCTTCACATTGCTTTTTTCTCTTAAATGTTATTATACTTGTAACAGCATTTTTCAGACAAATGTCTGTTAACATAGAAATTATAGTATTATAACATGCGTCAGTAATTAATGTGCGTTTTGTACGTAATTTCAAAATATTGAGTTTGATGATTTTCATAGCATAGGGATTTGATATTTTAAAAGGTGAAAAGTATAAATAATTTAATAAACGATCACTTGGGCGGTCAAAAGTAGAAACCGCCGAATTTGACCTTTTTTTAAAAAATAAGTTTTAGATTATTCAGATATAATTTTTAATGCTAAATCTTTTTTATTTAATAACGAAAATATAATCAATTAGTAAATTTTAAAGTTATAGTCATTTAAAAACTTTTACATAGTAAAATGGCAAAATCTAAAAATAGATCAATGTCTAATATCACACAATTGTTTATATTAGATCTACAAAAATTAGCCAATCAGTTTAAATAAAAAACAGGTTTATAATCCAAAATTGTTATTTTTAGATTTGTTTTGTTTTGTATAACAAAATATGATTTGCCAATTATCTCAAAACTTGTGATTATCAAAATTCGGCGGTTTTTACTTTTGACCACCCACTTAATAAATTTAGCAACTTTATATGAACATTGACCTTTCTGTGGCTATACTGGTATTTAATTAATTCTGTATTCTTTTTTTGCTCTGCATGGGTAATGTTGAGGTGGCTGATCATCTAATAAAATTTATGCCTTTTTTTTTAATATTGATATATTTAAATAAAACTTTTAATTATATTTAAAAATTTAAATGATTATAACATTTTAATTGTGCAATGAATCAATATCAAACTTGGTAAGAAGAAAATCAAACACTTCTTTTACAAAATTACATTAAAATATTTCTACTTTATATATAGTCTTACCAATTTATATAATACGCTTTAAAAAATATATATTATTAATTGAAAATTTTAATATGGTATGTAAATTTTAAGTGCATAACTTTGCTAAGAATACAATGAAGATCGATAGACTTAAAAATTAGAAAAAAAAATAATTAAGCGACATATAATCAAAAATATTTTACTTAATCAAAAAATCTATCATTATACAAAAATTAAATAGACTAGACATATGTTTGATTCTATTAGATGATCAGTCACAGGATCACAACTTATCACGGAAATCTGATTGTGATCAAGAGTTTAATCAATTTATAAATATAGATATTAATATGAATTAATGTTAACTTTTCATTATTGTCATACATATTAAGCGCGTATGTATCTTTCCATTAATGCTTACTTCCATTAACGCTTACTTCCATTAATGCTTACTTCCATTAATGCTTACTTCCATTAATACTTACTTCTATTAACACTCACTTTCTCTTAGCAACTTATTTATATAATATGCTTTAAAAAATATGTATTATTAATTGAAAATTTTAATGTAGTATGTAAATTTTAAGTGTATAACTTTGCTAAGAATACAATGAAGATCGAAAGACTTAAAAATTAGAAAGAAAAAAAATAATTAAGCGACATATAATCAAAAATATTTTACTTAATCAAAAAATCTATTATTATACAAAAATTAAATAAACTAGACATATGTTTGATTCTATTAGATGATCAGCTACAGGATCATGACTTATCACAGGGATCTAATTGTGATCAAGAGTTTAATCAATTTATAAATATAGATATTAATATGAATTAACGTTAACTCTTTCTTATTGTCATATGTATTAAGCACGTACGTATCTTTCCATTAATGCTTACTTCCATTAACGCTCACTTTCTTTTAGCAACTTACTTCTATTAGTGCCTTACTCTATTAGCAACTTACTCTATTAGCAACTTAGAAACTTGGAACTCAACGAGTTAATTACTGAAGCGAAAATATACTATTGTACTGTTATATATAAACTACGTTTGCCATATCTCATAACTCTATACTTAACTTATTTACTATATTCGCTACGATGCTATTATATACATTATATACACTATATATATACACTAAGTTTAACATATTAACTATGTATGAGGTTTTTCTAAGGTAAGAAATTGCTTTTAATTTACTATTTATTAAGTTCTATTGAAATACATATGTACAAACTAACTAGAATTTCTTTATGTTGAGTAAAATCAAAAAATAGAAAATAGTGAAACCAGCACTCTAGAGCCTTTTACAATGATGATCACAACTTAATATTTTTTTAAATAGGATCTGTATTCAATGAGTTGGCACCTTTTTTCTTACTATCAACAGGGTATTATGGCTTGTTGGAAGAGAATGTGCACTGCAAACTTAAAGATTAAGGTTATCAATACAATAATTTATACAATAGCAAATTGGAATTCACGATAGTGAAGAATGAGATAAGTATAAGAATTTGATTATGTATATAAGCAGGTCTCAGTTTTGAATTGCCCACTAACTTATTTAAATCGAAAACCAATGCTTAAATACATTCAAGTAAAAACCATACCTATCAGCTACAATCTCTAATACCGAGCCATTTTTTAAAATCTCAAGGTAGTTGCTTATATCATGCTGATCTGATATTTAAAACATCAATTAATTTTTTATATCCACTATAGATCGGATCTTTTAGCTATTCTTTATAGCTTTTTTTATGAGTCTTGGTTATTTATGATTAACATTGTTCTAATTTATATTTTTTAACAAATGCTTGTTTTAATTATACTTAGTTGTAGGTCCATTGAAAATCTGTGATAGCACAATATACTTATAAACATCAGATTTTATTGTATAACATACACAATATATATCAGGGCTGATTTCACATAATATGGTACATAATTTATATTGGTATAACAATACGTTGATGAAACCTGTGGATTCTGGTGAAATTCTCTAGCACCAGTATAATTCTATTCCAGTCTGGCATTGGATTTATATTACATATATACAAAAAGAAAACATGGCAAGAGTGATATTTATTTATTTTACTGCAATGTCTAATTTGCTTATTACAGTAATGTTTTGAACGTAGGGCACTATATGATATAACAAATATTGCATATATTATTTGTACAGTATAGTTTGTCAAAATTCAAGTTACATGTATTATACTAACAAAGATTTGGTTATTGTGTAATTTTTTTTTAACAATTTTTGCTTTTTAATTTATAATCGTTCATCTAGCAAGTACGATTTCAAGAAACATGCAAACACAGAAGCATATAAGACACGACTAAATTGATCACCATAATCAGGACTATCTTTAGTGTTTTATTCTACTTAACTGCATACCATCCAAGCGCGAAATAACAGTTAACTAATCAACCTGTGCATTATTTCAAGTACATGCATGAGCGGTATTTCGAAACAAGAATCAATTTTCCAAATTCAATATATTTTAAAATAATGCACATCCTTTATTAATTAGTTCAACACATATCATTCTCAAAATTCACCTCATCTTAATTCGCTTTTGATTACAATGTCCAACCATATACGCTCCATCTGCCTTACTCAGTTTTGCTAATTTTTGATAACATTCAAATACTTTCCTTTCATCTTCATCACATTCGCTCTTTTGAATGTTCCTTTGCTAAGACCTTCAGATATGTCTTTGATTTTGATTTTGTTTTTTTCCTTCATATTCCGATTACCTTGATTATTTGCACTAACATTCTTTATTCCCTTTACTATCAATTTATATTTACTATCGAATTATATTTAATCTTCCCATTACACCTTCAATTAACCTTCTTGTATTCTTTGTTTTTATATTTGCAAACTTCATAAACCTTATATCGATCACTTCCAGATTTTCTGCACATTTTTTTTCAAACTTCCATTCCAATACAAATATTTGAAATGGGCAATTATCTGTTGTAACCTGTCAACATTATTGCATAATGACTACATTGTTATATGTAAAGCTGGATATGATCTAAATGGGCAATACTGGTTATATTCAAGTATGTGTTAATACATTTATAGATGTGAGCCAAATTTTTTTTGCGAAAAAATTTACTTGCTATATTGGATGTGCGTTAATTCAGGACATGCATTTTTGAGATTACATATGCTATATTAGGGTGCTTCGAATTTCAAAATAATGCTTGTGGGTGTTAATTCGTGCTTATTTGGTACTATTAAAAAAGCTAAATCTTATTCACTCTTAGAGCTTCGATTCTAAATCTGACAATTTGAAACAAATAATGAATTTAATAAAGATCTGTCAAAAAGAAAAACTAAACACTATTTATATCAAATGGCCAGGCTATAAAGCAATTGAAGAAATAATAACAAAAAGAGAGAGAGTCTTAAAACAGGTTATAAGTAAGATATTTAAATTTGTTTAAAGTTTTATTTTAAAAAAAATTATATGATCGATAATATAAATTATATTACTAATAAATATATTTTAAGCATTTTATCTAAGCATTATATTTGCATTTTTATTATATATAAAATTAATATTACTGTATTATTAATAAGTATAATTTAAGCATTTTATTTAAGCATTATATTTGCATTTTTATTATATATAAAATTAATATTATTAATAAGTATAATTTAAGCATTTTATTTAAGCATTATATTTGCATTTTTGTTATATATAAAATTAATATTACTAATAAATATATTTTAAGCATTTTATTTAAATATTATATTTGTATTTTTATTTTATATAAAATTAATATTATAAATAAATCAATTATTAATTATTATAACTCTCCCCGATGATCACTTGTACCAAAATTTCAACTATGGAAAACAAAACTTTTGTTGGAGAGACATGGCTCTACGGTGCGGTTTGTCTAGAGATCAACCTTTTCCTATTGGGGGACTCCTCTAAAGGATGTTCGGCATGCAAGCTAGGAGCATTATTATACAAGATAACTG